AGCTCTCAGCGCCAACAAGTGGGTGACCATCCTTTCCTCCTTCCGCTATAGGTGTGTTTTGGCATTGTTTCCGTGCTGAGCTACACAGTGACAGAATTGTATTGGTACGTTGCTTTCTCAGTGTTACGTTGTCTCTCTGTGGCCCGGAACCTATTGCCTTAATACGTATGGCAGCATTTTACGCATTTGTGCCACATATTGATCCCATGTTCTGCCATCAGTTAGAAGTTCAATGGTAATTTCGTCACTCAAGGACCGCACCCTTTGTAGTTAAGTGACAGCGGCAATCTTGATGACGAATTAGCGGTAACATTTTCGAGTGAGAATAATTCACGAGTAAAACGCCATTCATCCTAGTCATGCGCTTTGACCTCTAGCTCGCTTAGTGACTGGAGCTCAGGGACACCGTGAACAAGGATAAATTTTGCGTCTTGTTGTTTATGGAAGTCATCCGGATTTTGTTTGCGTTGCTGGCGTTCGCTCCAAGGAACATCTGGAAATATTAGAACAGTGCATGTGGTGGTACGGAGGCGAGTGGTTGACAAGAAAACTGCTTCTGCATCAATACCTGACTGAAGTGTTACCTGGAGTAACCGCGGTCCACCGTAGTGTACGGAGTTCGGGTGACGGGCGAGACGCATCATACTGACTGGTTTAGTTTATACCCCTATTAGTTGACACAGGGAGTCCCACTGCTTTTCGTCGTCTTGTATCTTGTCTTTTATGGAGTTCGTTCCGGATTCAGTCACATCAGAGCATATAACTGTTAGAGGATTATGGTGTAGGACTAGTCTATACTAGTCCGAGAGTGTTCTCGCTCTGGTAGGGATGCCAGAAAACCAGAAAGACGGACACAACGGATTGTATTCGCGGAAGGCTACAATCGAACGAAAAACGAATGAAGCGACGAGAGCGTACGTCAGTGCCGGAACTCACCGTGGAGAAAAGTGGTGAGCCGGATGCAGTTCATAATGGCCGTAGAGTCGGCATTAAAACAAAAATCAATATTCTATGACTGAGTAATAAAAGTGTACATAAAACAAGAAATATCTTTTGGGTTGCTACAGAGCTCCCCTCCTAGAAGGCTGAACAAAGAAGCCTTCGAAATCAACTGGTTGTGGATCCAAGTTCGCAAAAGGTTCTGGTATACAAAGAAGTGTCTGCTCGGGTTCGGAAAAAAATGTAGCCGAAAATTTGTATCCGCTGTGCCGTCCGGTCTTTATTATTTATTGATTGCAGGGCAGGGTGCATTTCGGCGAGCCGTTGGAGCGGGCTTGTCGGACTACAAAAAAACTGGCTAGTCCAGAAAAAGGCCGACAGGACCTCAACCTCCGCTGCTGCCAAACGGTGCGCTTGGGAGTGGTCTCTCCCCCGCCGCACCCCGCCCCGCGCCAAAACGACCCTCGTCCCACGAAGAAACGACCATGGTCCCACGGAGAAGCGACCCTCGTCTCGCGAAGAAGCGATCCTCGTCCCGCGAAGAAGCGATCCTCGTCCCGCGGAGAAGCGATCCTCGTCCCGCGGAGAAGCGACCAGTGTTCGCGTCAGGGTCCTCGAAAACATTCCTCGTGTGGGCCAGTCGATCGAAGGGGAGGGTTGGGGCATGTAAAGACGAGAAAATAGAAAAACACGCGCAGAAAACGCCAAAAAGAACAAACGAATGAGCTGCGTGTTTAAATATTTTTGGTTTTTGAATATTTTTTTGAAAAAGGTTTTTCGGAGGTTTTTGATATTTTTGTTTGTTTTCAAAACGTTAATCGACCAAAAATGAGGCAAATATATACAATATCTACAAAGTTAAAAGTATTTACACTGTACATAGTCGGAGAAGCGAACGGGCTTACGTACCTCCCGACCACGGCGATTGGTCGTGGGAGGCGGCGGACTAGGTTCGGGTGATGTCGGGACTGCTGAAGCTTGCAGACCGTGATCGTGGTCTGGTTGGACTTCATTAGCATGCGGAAAACTGGTACGGTGAGTTGTGACGTCGCACGAGGCACTACTAGACGAAGTAGGCGAGGTAGTTACTTCCATAAAGGCGGGTTTTAGACGGTCGATGGTGACGACTTCGTGTCGACCACCGCGGTCAATAGTGTACGCCTTACTCGCACGATGCAGCACCTTGAAGGGTCCTATGTACGGCGACTGAAGAGGCTGTCGAACACCGTCTGCGCGAAGAAGGACGTGTGAACACGTAGACAGCTTCTCGGGCACGTACACTGGTGTCTTCTGCGATCGAGGAGCGGGTGGACGTAGCTCACGCATCTGGTGAGCCAATCGGTCAGTGTAACTTCCGTAGTCAAAAGTGGAAGTACATGGGGCTGGTGCTACCAGCTGTCCGGGCAACCGCAGCGTGCAACCGTAGACTAGCTGCGCTGGTGTGGCGTCGAAGTCGGTCTTAACCGTGTTTCTTAAGCCTAGGAGAACGAGGGGAAGCGTTTCAGACCATGAAGGATCTGCGTGCGCACGTAGCGCTGCCTTCAACTGGCGGTGAAAACGCTCCACCATGCCGTTAGCGGCCGGATGATACGCCGTCGTCTGGACGTGGCGACAGCCTAAATCCTTAAGCAACATGGCAAATGTCGACGAGAAATGTGACCCTCGATCGGTGGTCACGATGGCGGGACAGCCGTATTGAGCTACCCAGCGCTCCATAAAAGCTTTCGCTACCGTTTCCGAGGAGCAATTTGGGATAGGGACGGCCTCAGGCCATCTAGTAAATCGATCGATGCAGGTCAGTAGATATACAGAGCCTTTGGAAGGCGGTAGAGGACCTACGAGGTCGACGTGCACGTGATGAAAGCGTGCGTCTGGCGTCGGAAACGTGCCTAATGGGCTTCTCGTGTGCTTGTGCACCTTCGCGCGTTGACACGGAAGGCAAGCAGCTGCCCAGGTACGGACGTCCCGATTAACATTGCGCCAAACGAATCGTGCGGTTACGAGTTTAACCGATGCACGAACGCCTGGATGAGACAAGCCGTGCAACGCGTCGAACACGGTCTGCCGAAACTCGCGTGGGACGACTGGGCGCGGCGTGCCCAGAGATAAATCGCAGAGTATCGTTCCGTCTGATGATGTCAGCGGAACGGGTCGTATATCCAATGAGGGAGACCTGCGTAGTAGATCAACCTCAGGATCGTTGAGTTGTGCTGTGGCCATGGCTGCCAAGTCGATAGCAGTGCCGGCGTCAGCGGAGATAGCTTGGATGCGGGAAAGTGCATCGGCGACGGCGTTGTGCACACCTGAGACATGCCGTATATCGGTCGTAAACTGAGCGATATAGTCAAGGTGGCGCGACTCTCTAGGAGAGTATCGGTCGGTAGTCGAGCCGAGCACGTAAGTCAGGGGTTTGTGGTCGGTGAAGACGACAAAGGAGCGGCCTTCTAGGACGTGTCGAAAGTGACGTATCGCTAGATATACGGCTAGTAGTTCTCTACCGAACGTGCTGTAGCGAGATTCGGTAGGTTGTAGGCGTTTGGAGAAAAACGCTAAGGGCTGCCACGTGTCGGCTACGCGTTGCTGCAAAACAGCGCCGACTGCGACGTCCGAGGCGTCAGTACTGAGGGACAGTGGGGCGGTCGGATCGTGATGCGCTATAGAAGCTATGTTGGCGATAGCCTCTTTCAGCGACTTAAAAGCAGCGCGTGCTGCGGTAGGAAATTCGAACGTCTTGAGTTTCCCTCGGAGAAGGTCCGTGAGGGGTTGCATCAGCGAGGCGCAGTTGGGTATAAATCGACGGTAAAAGTTGACAAGGCCATCAAAACGCCTGAGCTGTTTGAAAGAATGAGGCTCGGGGTAGTCGATGATGGCTTGAATTTTATCCTGCAGTGGCACGACGCCTGCAGAAGAGATACGATGGCCCAGGAAATTGACTGAATCGACACCAAACGAACACTTTTCTGCGTTGATCGTCACCCCGTGTTGAGATAAACGATCAAAAAGTGTTCGTACGTGGCGTATGTGCTCTTCTCGTGAAGAGCTTGCGATTAAAATGTCGTCAAGATACGCGTAAGCGAAGTCTAAACCGCGACAAACTTGGTCGATGAAACGCTGAAAAGTTTGCGCGGCGTTCTTTAGGCCAAATGGCATGCGCAGAAACTCGAACAAACCAAATGGAGTCGTCACGGCAGTTTTAGCGATGTCCGCTTCGGCTACCGGAATTTGGTTGTATGCGCGTACCAAGTCGATTTTGCTGAAGATACTTTTACCCGCCAGACTGGCGGTGAGATCCACTATGTGTGGGATCGGATAGCGATCGGGCGTGGTCACCGTATTCAAGGATCGGTAGTCGCCGCAAGGACGCCAGTCCCCCATGACCTTCTTCGGGACCATGTGCAGAGGCGACGCCCATGGGCTGTTGGACGGTCTGACGATACCAAGTTGAAGCATGTGGTCAAATTCGGCTCGTGCTGCCCGTAGTTTGTCTGGAGCAAGCCGTCTTGGTCGTGCGTTAACTGGTTGACCGCGCGTAACTATGTGGTGAGCGACCTCTGTCGTGACTGGTGGAAGCTCTGCAGCCGGTCGAACCAGTCGCGGGTGTTCGGAGAGGAGGCTCAAGTAGTCGGACGGTGCGTCTGCGATCCGAAATACAGGGCTGATTATCGGGGCATCTGAAAGGACACCATCAACCCCTAGTTTCGTATGATCATCTAAAATTCTGTTGCGACCCGCGTCGACAAGCAATCCGAAATGGCGAAGAAAATCGATGCCGATAATTGCGAAAGGTACTGACGCAACCGTGAAAACCCAGTGAAAGTCTCTGCGGAGATTTAAATCTAGGTTCATCATGCGCTGACCGTATGAAGCTATCGGTGAGCCGTTGGCTGCCCGTAGATTGTACGTGGGCTTCGTATGCTTGTCATGCGCGCTGGCAGGGATAACGCTCACTTCGGCTCCTGTGTCGATAAGGAAAGTGAGGCGGGAGCGCCTATCCTTGACGTAAAACAGACGGCCTGTTTTGTCGCTGCCGGACGCGTGGGCCGCATTCACGTGCCGGCGAACTAGTTTCCCTGTGCCACTACACCACGCTTGGCGCAGGGTGAACGGCAACGTCGAGCGTTATCACCATACTGGCGATGATACCAACACAAATCATCCATTAAATTGGCACTTCGGGTTCGGCTGCGAGGGGGTGATGGACTGCGTCTGCGCGGTGACCTGGATCTGTACGGTGGGGGTCGGGGCTGATAGGCACCGTGACGAACGGCGGCAATTTCGTGGTCAGCGTGCGGTCTTAGTAAGCCTTGTCTTTCTAACTGCACGGTTGCTAATTCACGGCGAAGCGCGGCTATCTCTTCGTCTCTGGGGTCTGCTTGCGCGGGCGCTTTTGCATTCAAGTCTTTATCCGCTAATGTGGCGAAAATGCTGCTGGATGCCTTCATGTGTTGAGGGATTCTCTCAAAGGCTGCGTCCGCGGTTATTGCCAACTCTTTGAGTGATCTATTTGGATAAGCTACGAGCATTAAAGGAAGAGGATCAGGTAGGCGTGAGAGCCACAGTTCTTTTAATGCTTCTTCACTCATGTACGAAGGGCCAGCAATCTGCTGAATATCGCGGAGCAAAACCGAAGGCTTGCGATCGCCTAGCTTAGTGCTATGAAAGAGTTGCTCCAATCGAGCACGAGCGCTGGGTTGCGACTCCTTTAGGATCAACTGCTTCATTGCTTCGTATTTACCGTCTTTAGGTGGATGAAGCAGTACGTCTTCAACCAGTGTCACCACCTGTTGCGGAAGGCGTGGGACGAGTTGGTTGTATTTAGCTTGGTCGGCAGAGATCCCTCGGTTCTCTAACTCTATCTCAAAAATGGCAAACCAGACGTTGGGCTTGTGTGCCATAAAATCCGGAACAGCCAAGGTGAGCAAATTCATGCTGCCGCCCGATCCGGGTTTTACATCGGCGTCAGACATAGTATATGAATAACACGAATGGTTTTAAAAACGAAATGGACGGAAAATAATCCACCAGGGATTAGGGAAAAACAACTCGGAACGAACTCACCGAAAACGAAACGATCAAAAAATTTGAAGATTCGCGCGTGCGAATCGGGGTCACCAATTTGTAGGACTAGTCTATACTAGTCCGAGAGTGTTCTCGCTCTGGTAGGGATGCCAGAAAACCAGAAAGACGGACACAACGGATTGTATTCGCGGAAGGCTACAATCGAACGAAAAACGAATGAAGCGACGAGAGCGTACGTCAGTGCCGGAACTCACCGTGGAGAAAAGTGGTGAGCCGGATGCAGTTCATAATGGCCGTAGAGTCGGCATTAAAACAAAATCAATATTCTATGACTGAGTAATAAAAGTGTACATAAAACAAGAAATGTCTTTTGGGTTGCTACAATGGTAGTGTTTCATCTTCTCCTCGTTGGAGGGACCAGTGGCTGCTTCCTTCGGTTGGACAAATGATGGGATCTGGAGTCCCGTGGTCGTATTGGAAGTAGTAACTCGTTCGGCAGCGGGCAGTGTTGCAACGGGAAATGCCACCTTCAAATGGGTAGCAACAACGGACGCGTAAGTTGTCCACCCTCTAACAATGTTTAGTGTGGCAGGTGATTCTGTAGAGGAATGTGTGGCGAACACATCTTTATGAGCAGACGCTAGTGTCAAGGTGTCTAACTCTGGATCGTTACTCTTACACTGTGCTAAATTAGAGCTTGATTTTGAGCATCGAGTTCGAGGCATTGATTTGACTGGTTCAAGTGAGACAGATTTCACGGCTGCTGCCTGCTCTACAATCTTTGTCAGCCTACCGTACTTCTGCGCCAACACATTTATATGTCTGATAAATGGAAGAGACGTACACTCAGTGCAGAAACAGAGAGAATCAGTCGTACTATTAAGCTATTTTATCTGGCTAAGACTAAGGCGAGTGCGTCAATAATGGAAGTGTTTTCCGCAGTTGCTGTATTCTATTCCAAATCGCACAAGTTTACACCACTGTCTACTACACAACTAAAGTTTATTTCGGGAGCTTTGGGCTTATCTTTTCTTGGGCAACCAGTACGTACCATTGTAATTGTCAGATCTGCGGATGCCGTTCGTTGCAACGTTCGCACTGGTATGTTGATTGCAAAGGCCGTCGGTCAAACTGGTGGTCTGGCACACACCTGTTCGATTGCTGTTGAACAAACCTAAGATGGCGGACACAGACGTCAGTTGGGCCATTCAGTGAGGTCTCCGACAGTAGCTGGAGAATCTCCACCAAATTAGCCCAGATGGAGAAATAGAGCAAAAGCAAAGTATTGGTGCGAAATTTACACAGAGAAACTACGTATAAGAGTATTTCCAAAGCAAAAGTAGAAGGCAGCATGGTACATCAAAAATCCGCGGCGTCCGTGGGTACAGCTCGCAACGCAGTGGCTTACTTCGAGATCAACTTTTTAGGTATGCTTGGCGTCAACCACGTACTAACCACTATTCGTATAAACATGGTATTGAGTTTTTGGAGCAAGTCGAAAGATGGGCGAATTGTTGCTTGCATCTATTCCGACCAAATTTGTCTCGCTTGTTTCAGGGGTATCGTGCCCGGACATGCGAAATTACAGGTACCAGTTGTTGTAGGAAGCCCAGTATTCCTAGTCTCGCCTACGGGTAGGATTGTACCTACACTACGTTTCGCTTTCTCCCTGTGAAACGACTTTGTCTTTCACCATATCCTCAATCATTGGTACCGGTCCTTCGTATTTCTGAGATTGCTGAAACACGATTTGACCGTTGGAGGACTGCACACAGCGCTAAAAGTCAGCATCTCAGCATATTTGGTGAGCCTTTAACACGTTTAGGGTGGAACCAGTTAAAGCAATTGAAATGTAGAATTTCTGCTGTTACATTTCTTTTGCATGAAAGTAAGCACAGACACGTTGCCTTCGGGTCACAGTAGATACATCTTATGTGATCGATCGCTGCAAGCCGTCTTGTCAACTTGTAAGTGTCAGCGAGTGACTACCGCGCACATTGCGCTTGGATATGTACCCTACGTGTCGTCTCAGTTCTGAGTATCTGAAGCACGACCAACTTTGTCACATGAGGTTGACCTGTACGGGTGGGTGAAACAGCTGCATCAAACGTGGGAAACCCGATGTTCTGGGTAGTATGCGCAAGGCGATGCAGAAAGAGATAGCACTATATATTCTATACCTATTTTACTTGGTGGTCAACCGGGGTGTTTATGAGTCCATTTGCTAGTCCTTAAAGATGGCTGTCACTTGAGACCAGAAACCTTCTTGGATCAGTGCAAGGGTTAAAAATTAGGAACATGTTTCGTCAACGGCACTGCAAAAACTGAGATGTAGAGATTCGAGGTGATCCTTGATAAAGTGCCCATGTAGATAAAACGTACTAGATAGCACAAGTTGAGAGCAGACACCTTCGTGTCCTGTTAGGAGTGATGGAGTATATTCTGGCGCAACACTGCAGCAGAAAGAATGCAACCGCATAGCAGAAACACACTTCTTGGATAGAGATCGATGGAGCAAGCGGACTTTTGTTGAATTCCACTGATGCCCAAAGTCTATTTTGGTATCAAGTTGCAGCGATGGGGTGATGATGGCTTGATGCAGGAATTGTTGGGTCGATATCTGTCCAGAATTAAGGCATCGCCACACATGACACGATGAGCTGTCCGTTTGGATTATGAGGTGCGCAGCAATCAACATCCAACTGCCCACACCCTCTCTAAAATATTGCGCCCTTGCATGGCACGGGAAAATGAGCTGGTAGGATGGTTACCCGGCTAGGAACAGTTTGAGATATATTTCTTCTAACAAGCAGTATTTTTGTTTGTATCCACTTTTCCTGGGTGGGTTGTGCTACCGACGACCGCAGTGTTAATCTTGACATCACAAGTTACAGTAGCCAATGACTTCGTTATTATCAACGTTCCGAAGATTGATGATAACCCCTTATATTCCTCATAAGCTCCATATTCCTCGTCGCATTATTTTGAAGTGGTGACTTTTGATTTTATGTGCGCCATTATTTTCTTAGGTTCTCAGTGTGTATGATTTAGAATATTGAGACCATTAATTAAAGAAAAACTGCTTCATGGTGAATGCTTTGTATCCTCGGGAGCTGCGCAATTCTTTAGCTCTTTTATTTCTTGACTGTCACATTACATCAGTGCATTCAGCCACACAAGTAAACGGTTTCAAAAGTGTACGCAGACGTGGCTATTTATGTTCGAATTTGAGACTGTGTCCTGACGTTCATTATTTTAACTGGTTGCTTGCAAATAGAGAATGGGAAAAGCCCGGAGAAAAGCCTAGTCATCTATTTCCTAACCATTTGTAATACATTTGATTAGCTCATGATTCTTATGATGATCGTGAAAAGTAGAAATAATGACATTTTGTCGATAATTCCTATTAGCTGTAAGACAGACTTCTGGTATAGCTTATCCGACGTTAACCAGACCTATCTCGTCCATCAACTTTCCGACAGAAACACTGGCGTCACCTGACCTGCAGTGGATGTTACCTGAAGTCTGCTTTTATTACTCAATCAAGGCGCACACCAAAAGTGGGCCGTCAAACGAGGACTGGAGCAGATGTGTGCGATTTGGAACTGCACAAACTGGTGACTTATCCTACGCATGGCAGTTTTATCAAAGTGCACTACCACAACCCAGTTTGCGTGACTAGTTTGTCTCGCGAGCACTTTCTGTGCACACACTGAAGTTGTTTGCGAGCTTTCGGCTATGGCAGCTGCTGTAGCGTAGCATCTGATATCTGTCATTCAGTGCAACCGCAGTATTACTTATTTGGTGCTGAAGAAATGGCGCTCTTGTGTTCAACATCTAAAGAAGCACGTCCTACTGCAAACTTAAAAAGTACCCCTCAAGCGGTCATTGACCTTTGTAATAGGCACAGTCAACGGCGATTCGGTGAAGTTGCATTGGGTGCTTAACGAGTTCTTTACGTCATTGGTCCAATTAACAGTTTTCTCTCTTCACCTGACCAGAGCTGACAAGTACAAAACCGGTCTTGGATTGCAGTGTTACGAGCTGGCTCGCTCGTAACACCTAACACTGATCCGCGTCATAGGTGGTCCCAGTGGCCTGACTAACTGAAATGAGCTTCAGTGTGAATCGCGAGTTTTCCTGACTGGGCGTCACGAGTGCGTTAGACACTGTTTTTTACTTTTGTTGACATTTCATTTGTAGATAGTTGTGTTTATATTATACTACTCATCTAAGTGCCAGTAGTCTAGTTTTATAGAAGTAAATGTGGTTAGGTTGTTCATTTGTTAGGGTAAATGTTCGCTGAGCTTAGCAATTACATTGTGTGTTTCGTCACCAGCTAAGGTGACATCATCAGTTCCTTAATGCGTAGCGTATTCTAGTGCACCGATGCTTGAGTAACTATGGACCGGGTAGCCAAGCACGTGCGTTTTTCTAGGTCATGGTGCTCGTTCGGTCCCAGGAAAGCAGGTGTCAGGGAAACAAGCAGCGAGTGCACTGTTACACAATAAGGGACGCCGTATGGGTCGTTGGGCGGAACACTTTCATGATCAGTTCAGTTGGCCCAGTGCTCTCGGATTTCTTTCTACTCAGGTGATGCAGGAAGAGCCATGGACGGTTAATTTAGAGCCTCCGTCGGAGGCCGAGGTCCGAGGTCCCATCACAGCCTTCACTCATTTTCGTGGTGCTGGCCCGGATTCCCTCCCAACTGCACTATTCAAGGATGGAGGTGAGGTCCTCTGCAAAGCACTGACACCCCTATTCGAACGTATCTGGAAGTAAGAGTGCCCAGGTAATTGGAGCGATTCAATTATAGTGGCAATATACAAGAAGTGCAGTCGCACAGACTGTGCTAACCACAGGGGTATTAGCCTAACACCAGTTGTGACAAAATTATTGGCCTCGATTATCGTTCGTCGCTTCACTGCGGAGCGGGATTCTCGGATTA